GTGGCAATAGCTTGATTTGACTTTCCGAGTGGGGACAAACCAAGTGGTCTTTTGCACAGGGACACTTTTGTGACTGGAGCCCGTATGCTTGGCTTCTCAAAACGTGCCTTCTCCAGTCCATAGTTGTTGGGGAGCGTGTATTCACCTTCCCCAACTTTTAGGTGGAAGATGATCCTGAAGACATGTTTTAAATTTTTATTAATTTTCAGGATTTAGGGCTTACGATACTGGGGGGATACTAGGTATAATTGTTTTCGAATCTGTGCTCTGCCTCTTACTAGCTGTAAGATTTTCTGCAAATTACCTGGAATCACTCGGCTTACTCATTTATAACTAGGGAATAACACTTCCCTTGTATGATTGTTGAGAAGATTGAGGGACCAGCAGATGGCCTAATGGTTACAACACTGTAGTTGACCAGGGTTGGAGTGATGGACAGGCAACTTAAGACTCACATCAGGTGGATGTGTGTGCATGTGTGCCCAAAATGCTGAGAGGAGAATGGAGAAGGGATTGCGATGTGACCATCCCCCCTGGGGGTTGATTTCTCATTTTCAGTCTCTCTGTCTCTCTGGTGAGCACATGCGCCTATAGCAAAAAAAAAAAAAAAAAAAAAAAAAGATTGAATAGTTTGTAACTGAATGCATGCCTTCTACACCTGCAGAAAGCACACACTAACTCTTAACTGTTAAGACAGTTTTCTAAAATTACATTCCAGGCACGGTGCTGAACAAAAATGGATGCTGGAAGAGTATTTGCTGACTGGGTTACAGTTTCCATTCTCACTGTTAGGACTCAAAGAGAGCTCTCAGGATGAGTGTGGTGATTAAGGACAGAAGTCAGTACTTGAATTCAGCCTAGCTGGCTCCGGGCGAGGGGGCGGGGCTGCCGTGCTGGGCGCCACGTGGCTGACTGCAGGTTCGGACCCCCAGGTCAACCTGTTTATTCACTTTAAAGGAGATTTTTCATTGTAATAGCAAAAGAACCATGTAAAATAAGAGACATCCTCAGCTCATTGTTGGACACGGGGCTTTTTTTTTTTCTTTTTTTAAACTGAAAAACTTCATTTATTTGTTAAAATTTGTCATGAGTGGGGGGGTTTGAACAGGGTAAATGTTTATTTGTTCTCTCTCATCCAATTATAAAATATCATATGAAAATCCTCCTAAAGGAACCAAATTTAAAAGAAAAACCATTCTAAATTTACTAAGTAGAGAAAATTTTCAGCAATTACTCATTTATGCTCTCACATTCTATAAACTTTTTCATGGTCAACAAACTGATTTAAATGATTTAAGTTATCCCACCATTTAAAAAGAAAATTGTCTGCAATAATTTTAAACCATGGAGTTAGCTTAATTTTACAACAGGCTGCTTTTTTCAGAAGTTCCTGCAGTTCTTCCTTTGACACATAACAGTAGCTTTTTTTTTTCTTTTTTTTTTGGGAGAGGTTTTTGCTATAGGGCGCATGTGCTCACCAGAAAGACAGAGAGTCCTCAAGACAGAAAGCAAGAAATCACCCCCACAGGGGGTATGGCCATACCGCAATCCCTTCTCCTCCATTCTCCTCCCAGGATCTTGGGCACACATGCACATGTGCCCAGCGTGAGTTCAAGCCACTGGTTCCAGGACTCGAACCATGGTCGACTACGTGGGAGTCCAGCGACATAGCCATTACGCTAACTGCTGGTTCCATTACAATAGCTTTTAATCTCACTAGGATCTGGATTCAAAGTTATGTTCTTCTTCACAAACAAGATGTAATCAATTTTACGTTCACCCCAGATACCATCAGACTGAGCTTTGTAGTACACTCACGTTAGATAATTAATTTCTCCTGGTGGAACCTCTTCCATGGGAATTCCTAACTCAGCTTGTAAACGCCTCCGTGCTGCTCTGCTCGTTTTACTCCAATGGCATCGTTCAAGCTCTCCTGGGTTAGTTAGTGGGTGACTACAACAGGTATTGGTAAAACAACCTGGAAAGGTCATTTTAGCACCCGATCTCTGCTGTAGCAGGAGCTTATTCTCACTGTTGAATAAGACGACACTGAAAGCTTGAGGTAACAGTCCTTTCTCAATGATTTCACTCAGATGACAATTCTTCTTGGTCTCAGCCCCGATTTTACTGATATTATCATCAATAAAAATACACATCTCTGCCAGGAGTTGAACCTGTTTCCCATCAAGGTGGTCAGTATTTATTTCAGGCATCTTTGCAAAATGTCTGATCTTTTTCTTAAGAGTGTGCAAGCTGCGGACGCAGTTGTTCCTTTTTAATTTTTAGCCGTTGCACATGGTAGTGCCTGCAACAGTTTCTACATCTATTACTTGGCATCAATCCATGGAAGCAACATTACGAAGTGTGTGAGTGGTATAACTTTCGTTACAAATTTTTTCATTTACTAGCTGAGACCAGCAGAGGGCGTAATGGTTACGTGGTGGCTCCTCTTCGTGGAGAAAGCACATTTGAGTAAAGAGGTCTCTCTTAACAATGGCACCTCTCTCAATAGGCTTTAGTGTTTGGATCAGCTGAGCAGCTGTTCCTAACAGAAGCAGAAAGATAAAAAACAAAACACAGAAAGCTTTGGAATCTTTTTTTATTGGCCTACCACCCAGCATAGGATGTCCTAGTGGGCTAATTTCTCTTCCTTTAAAGAAACATATCTAGGCCCCAATCATTGAGGCCTAGGGAAGAAGCCAAGCAAGTAAGTATAAATCACTCGTCACTCATAAAGCGATGGCAACAGGATTGAAACTGGGAGGCAGTCTGAAAAGCCAGTGAGGGCTGCTGAATGGGGCAGACGTAGTTCGTGAATTCTCAGGAGGAAAATGTCCCACCGTGGGAAATGCTGCTTTAAGTCATTAGCGCTCGCTGAGCTCCAGGTCAGGCTATTCCCACTCCCTCTGCAGGACTAGCGTTGTGAGTGAAAGAGTAGTGGGAAAGGACAGAAAGCTTTCAGGTAATTTGTATTTCAATAATGTTTATTCACTTTAAATGGTATTTTTCATTGTAACAGCAAAAAAAATCATCTAAAATAAGAGACGTCCTCAGCTCATGACTGAATACGAGGGCTCTTCTTAATTTTTAGCCATTACACATAGTAGTGTCTGGGAGATCAGCCGATGGCGTCATGGTTATATCACTGGGCTCTCGTGTAGTCAACCATAGTTCGAGTCCAGGGCCTGGTGGCTTAAAACTCATGCTGGGCATGTGTACGTGCATGTTCAAAATCCCAAGAGAAGAATGGAGGAGAAGGGATTGCAGTGTGGCCCTGGTTGGGGGGGGGTGATTTCTCGCTTTCTGTTTCTTTGTTTCTCTCTGTCTCTCTGGCGAGTGCACACGCCCTATAGCAGAAACCCCTCTACAAAAACAAAACAAATAGTAGTACCTGGGACAGTTTCTACATATATAATTTTGCATTGATTCCTGGAAGTAGCATCACGAAGTGTGTGCGTGGTGTGTGAGTGTTGTTCGGATTTTGTTGTAAATTCTTTTATTAGCAAAAATATGAGAACACCAGTATTACTCATGTTTTATCTACTTCAGAGAAATAGATCTTACCGTTGGATAAAATTTTCATTAGCAAACATTGGCACATCATGGATGTTTAAATTTGTGTTTCTTAGGTTACTATTTTCTCCACACATGAAGTATTGTCTTTTATTTGAATTGACTGTTCACAGGTTTGCTGAGTGTAATTACAATGTTTCCTTGTCATGTGGTATATATTTTTCTAAGGCACAGATACTTTTTTTTTTTTTTGAGAGGTTTTTGCTATAGGGCACGTGCGCTCGCCAGACAGACAGAGAGAGACAGAAAGATAGAAAGCGAGAAATCACCCCCCAGGGGGGATGGTCACGCCACAATCCCTTCTCCTCCATTCTCCTCTCAGGATCTTGGGCACGCATGCACACGCGCCCGGCATGAGCTTTAAGCCACCAGGTCTGGGACTTGAACCGTGGTTGACTACGTGGGAGTCCAGCGACAAAGCCATTATGCTAACTGCTGGTCCCAGCACAGATACTGATCTTATTGCTTGATTTTTTAACCCGATGGTATAATTTATGTAACATAAAATCATATAAAGCACAAACACAGGGGCCGGCAGGTTAACGTGGCATGGCGGTTAAAGGTGCTGGACTCCCACACGGCTGATCGCTATTCGAGTTTTGAACCTGGCAGCTTACTTTTCACTCCCCTTCCCCCATTGCTCTCTGGTCAAATTAAATACTACTACTACTAATAAATAAAGTTAGATTTTAAAAATCCTTAAAAAAATCATGGGGACCAGCAGGTGGTGTAATGATTACATCATTGTATTCCCTCATAGTTGATCATGGTTCAAGTCCCAGACCAGGGGCTTAAAACTCACACTGGGCACATGTGTGTGTGTGTGTGTGCCCAAAATCCCAAGAGGACAATGGAGAAGGATTGTGGTGTGGCCATCTCCCCTGGGGGGTGACTTCTCGCTTTCTGTCTCTCTCTGTCTCACCAGCAAGCACACACGCTCTCTAGCAAAAATCTCTCTAAAAAAAAAGTAAGATAAAAATAAAGCACAAATACAAATACATATGTCTCCACAGACACGTTTTGAATAATCCACTGTCATACCTTTCTCATTGTTTCAGAAAGATCCTGCTCTTTGCATCCTCTATTCTGAACATCCTCTCCTGTTCTCCACACTTTTTTTGTTCATTCTCCATAGTCAGCTGTTTCTCTTTTATATACATTGGTTTAGCTCCAGCAGGCATCATCCTTAGCCTATCTTGTATGGCTATTTAATTGCATTATGGTTATATTTTGCCTCTTGAACTAGAACATATGCTTGAGAACTGAAGTAATAACCACCTTTGAATATCTTCCAGCGGTATATATATGTAGCTTGCTTAATTGGGAGCAATGTCGCATGTGAGCTTGAGTGTCAGAATACAGGGAGGAAGGCAGGAGACTAGAGTCTTCAGAAATCGAGATAACTTTATTTTAAAGTTACATTCCCTAATTAGAATTTAAAAACACTGTTGCTAGAACAGTCAGCTGACTACTGGAAAAATGTTATTGCAGGAGGGCAAATGAATTGCTTGGCTTCAGTTTGTTTCTCTAGCGATGGGTGTGCTCTTCATGGTGTAGAAGAAACCGAGGCAGCTTACCGGACTTTCATTTTGTTCTATTTTAGAGGACCCCTTAGACAATATCATTGGAGAAATAGCTCATAAAGTCTTCAGGCTCATCAATCTAGAAATTGAGATAGTGGACCGCGGTCATATTCCAACACTATTAATAGGGTCACATTCAACAGAGAGAGCTGGTACAGAATCGTATCGATAGAGAAAGAGGAGTGAGAACTGGGACTCTTACGGGGCAGCACTCTCTGCTCATCCTGGGGACCCAATTTGCCTACATTTGTGACAAGGCCTTTGACAAGGTTCTTCATTATGTAAAGGGGAAGCCATGGATCCTGGGGAGGTTGTGCAGGGAAAGGGTTTGGGGTGGTAGGAAGGTGTTAGACCAGAAAGACAGCCGGGATCTAACATCAGAGAGAAAGAGCATGTACTAAATAACACAGCTGGGTGCTTTTCTCTATATATCTCACTAGCTGATGTTTCTGCCATGTAGCAGACCCTCGTTTTCACACTGCTTATTAACAATCATTATGCGACCTTTTTTTTTTTTTTTTTTTTTTGTAATGGTAGAAAAGCATCACTCTTTGAGAACAGTAAAGGAAGAACATTGGCTTGCCTGACTTCTCCCACTATCCCCCAAATATCCTAGTAAAGTAAACCCTTCAAGTTTGGCAGTTGGTCTGGGCTAAGGAGAAAGACGGTCTAATGCAGAGTATGGAAGTCATCTAATATTTCAAGTGTCCTCCTCATTTTTTTTTCCATGGTAATTTCTCTTGGTTATCCCCTAGCCTTCAGTAGCAGCTGTGTTTGGCATAACTAGAAGAGGTGACCATATCTGTATGTTTTTTTTTTTTTTTAGAAAGAGAACTGATAAGGAGAGAACCAAAGAAATTTGGAGTACTAGTTTAAGAACAGGAGAATAATGGTGATTGTGTGTACGGATTACTCATTATTTGGCAAGCTCCATGCAGTGTACTTTCTATTTTTTCGATCCCCACAAAAGTACTACCAGTATTGTCATATCAGTATTGACAGTACTATGAGTAATGTCATATCCCTGTTTTGTGGATGAGAGAACTGATACTTAGGCAGGTTAGGAAATTTGTCTGTGGTCACACATCCAACTAGCAGTAGAACTAGGAGTCAAGTCCAGGGAGTCCATGCCACAGTCCAAGCTCCTAGTCATTATACTATTCTAATAGGCATTCCAGAAAACAAGCAACAACCATGAAAGATTTGAAGAACTCCTGCCCAAGAAGTCTTCAAAATACCAGAGAGAGAGAGAGAGAGAGAGAGAACATCTTTCTTTTATGCAGGATGGGAACTTGAGAATTAAGAGAACATTGGCCTCTTAGAGGTCAGGGAGCTTAGACACAGTTGAGTTAAAGAGGGGCATAGGAGAAATACCCTCAGCTTCCCCACAGAACCCACAATCACCCCTCATTCAACAAACACTCAGGAGGAAGGACTCAGAGGAAAGGAAATACGTGTTGTCAGAGGTTTATGCTTCGTGCGTTTAATGGAGCAAATGGACTTAACTGATGTAAAACTTTTTTGACAAACAAATGCACCATGTTTTGACTCGTGTATTTATAGCAGATATTTCTCAGTTTTGGGGTATTACAATCAGCATTTCATGGAGTGGTACTACCAACCTGGCAAATATTAAAATAAAAAATGAATTATTGGCCCAGCATGGCGGCATAGGTAGGAAAGAGCCACTGCACAATACTGGAGCTATCTGGGAGGCCCCAGGGTCAGATCCCAAGTTGACCTGCATGTGTCAGGCATGTTCTTGGCTGGCTGAAGGCTTGGGGGAGAACTGCAGTACACTCAGACCCTGTTGAGAATACCTTTCTTTCTCTCTCTCCCCCAAGAAATTCATACACTTTAAAAACATACAAATGCTTGACCTCATCAGGAGCCTCCTAAGGTCCAGATGTGGGTAAGACCACTGGAGGTGCAGTGAGGTGTTTTCAGTTTCAGTCTCAGGGCCCTGTTGTGTTCCAGTACTTGGGATCCTGTTGCAAAGTTGGCCTAGGGTTTTTAACATCCCAAGATCCCCAAGTGGGGACCAGCAGTTAGCGTAATGGCTATGTTGCTGGACTCCCACATAGTCGACCGCAGTTTGCGTCCCAGACCCGGTGGCTTAAACTCACGCCGGGTGCGTGTGCGTGCGTGCCCAAGATCCCAAGAGGAGAATGGAGGAGAAGGGATTGCGGTGCAGACATCCTCCCTGGGGGGTGATTTCTCGCTTTCTGTCTGTCTCTCTGGTGAGCCTATAGCAAAAAAAACCAAAACCAAAACAAAACAAAACAAACAAAAAACCCACCAAGATCCCCAGTGGACCATGACCTTGATAAATATGTGTGGGACGCTCTGAATAACTTAGGCTTAGCCTGGGGTAAATTAGGCCGTTATTATTGAGCTCCTGCTTTGTACCAGGCATTGGGATCCAGCCACACATGGATTTCAGGCTTGAAGGTCCCAGATGCCTAGCCTTGGCCTTCAGACCGAGTCCGAGTCTGAGCACGAGGTGGGATGAGTGGCGATGAGGTGCGGTTCAACTATAACCACCCTTCTAGAAGGACTGAATCCTAATGTAATTCAAGATATAAACTCTGGAAGCTCTTCAGCCTTTTTGCTTTGCCATTTATCTAATGTTTACCCCCCCCCCCCAATAAATAGAATCTTCACTGTACTCTGTGCTAAGAGACACTATTTATACCAATACCTACGACATGATTAGCAGATAAACCTCCCTTTAGAATAAGAGAAATACATTAGTAGTTTTCATAAAT